GTGGACTTACGAGAAAGATTGCAGCAGGACAGGATGACGCTTGTTCAAACGAGATTCATGTGAGCGTGCATTCTAAAAGATCCCACAATCACCAACAAATGAAGAAAACATTTTGCTACGTTTTCATTTTGCTACACTTCACACTATTTACAAGAGTTCCGGAAATTTACGGACAACTACTTCTGTCGTTCTTCTGGATCATCAGCAAGTTATGGTCCTCGGAGTTCCATCCACCTCACACTGTATTTCAGCTCTCAGTTTCTTGAACTATATTCAGTAGAGTATTATATTGGCTGAAGAGAAATATATCCTGCAGACTGATTTGCAGAGTATGACATATTTTCATTGTGTCCGTCTTCACTAGCAATGTGAATTGTAAAACGAGTGTATTTTATTGATCATTTGAATCCCATTGAATAGGCTGGAAGAGAAAGTATTTTACTCAAATGTAAACAAAAGGTGCACTTGCGAAATTGTTTATCGCTTAAAGTCACCTGACATGGTAACTTGTCTCGACATCCAACTTCCAGCCATCGGGAAATTTGTATGCGAATAGGAAGAATACTATCATAAAAAGAACGCAAGCGATCGCGTAAATCATTTGTATAACATCATTTCGGTTTTCCGCAGTTCAACGGCTATTTAGCTACATCAGTAACTAGTAAAACCCACGGTTGTTTGGGCTGAGATAAACATTGTACCTTGATACCTATTAGCAGAGTCAAGGCAAGCAAACAAGATGAAATACAGCAAAGAAGTTTTGGATATTGGAACTGGAAAATTTAGTTTGCTAATGGAAGTGTTTTTTTTTCGGGATGACCTTCAAGACGAGACTATTCTTCAGAAGTGCCTCTTCAGAGCTTGTTTTTTACTTACAAACACACCAGCGGAAATTCGTTCAAACGCTTTATCAGCTACGTACTACATTTAAATGTCCTGCACCCTGCATCTTGGACCCGCCTGGAGCAAACTGACTTTTCGACGTATGAAAAAATATGAAAAAATGAACGATTCAAAATCATGGAATCACGTGATTTTCTTAAACAAAAGACTACTTTCATGCATTTCAGCAAACGATACAAAGCAATGATGCATGAATGGCATGTTTACGCAGTTAATTAGCCCAATTAACTTCCTTTTTGTTCCGGTGCAGTGCGCTTTAAACGGCCCACAGGGCATACAACAAAAGCTCGTCAAAAGCATTGTGCTTGCGGGCACACTGGCTTAAAAATAATTGAACGATTTTAGGTTAGGAAAACTCGGGCACGCCATGCAGGTTGGTGCCTATTCGGTATGACTCCAATTTGGTTTCAACAAAACAAATAAAAATGTTTTTACCGATGTGAGCTGGCACGATTATGGCAACTGGATTAGTTCTTTCCATTAGCCAGTCGTGTAGTTTCACTCTAATTTATTAATTATTCTTAGTTATTAGAGATAAACATTTTTTCTGAGACAGTATTAAAGTAATTCACGTCTTTCAAAGCATGTTGCTATAGCTAGCAGCCCGCTGGAAGCCGTTTTCGGGCTGGCTTCAGAATTGTGATTTTTTCTGAAAAACAGACTGCTGTGGACTATCGGCTGACTCTACACACATCACTGAATAATAAACCGCTCTCCTGCATTATATGGAGAAAATATATCTACTTGCAAGACAATTTTTCTCAATACGATAGTGTGATGTGATTGTCGAGTATACAATAGTTTTGTAAGTTTAAATAGCCGTATTTCTAAGTATTGTCACAATGTACCTGTAAACGAATGCAATAAAATAAGCATTCGTTTTTTCTGTTTAAATCGCTCGTCATTTAACTAACGTCACTGCGTTGGGTGATGCCCATATCTACCTATGAATACAATTTTTTTTAAACCCGCGATTGTTTGCATGACCAACCGTGTTTATCAGGAAAGTGTGGGATAATATGCAATTTTAAGAACTGAGAAACTATGAACCCAATTATTTGGTAGACAAGACCTTGTTTTCTGGACACTTTGTTACCCTCACAGTGTTGAAGGTTGGTCCGTTATAAGGCATTTTATTTGATTAGAAATACACCGAACTGCAGGCATCATTTGAGGGACGATAAGTCATGTATCATTTTTTTATTGGACTGTTTAGATAATTGACGCGGTGGCACTAAAAATATCGCAACGTGCTTTGACTTACGACATGGAGGCCAAATTGTAAAATAAAATAGTTCTTGATTATCTGTTACCTGAAGTATATATTCAAACACCAAATTTCTGAGCACATTTCAAAACCATCAAAGTATTCTACAGGTTGTGAGCACTTTGGGTCTCATTTTCTAACTTTTCCGTATTTACAACTTAGGCCAACGCTGAATGCCTCGCAGAAGCTCATCCAATTTTTATTGGAATCGGTTGTTTTTAAACTATTTCAGCACAACTGGCAGAGTTCTGGATCTCGACGACTCCATGTGAAGACCTGAAGACTTCAAGCGCCCCACACTCAATAGAGGAAGCGTCCACCATGACTGCTTGGTGGCACGTCAAATTTCAGATTCGAAGTTTTATGGTAATACTCTTCGGATGGTAATCGGGCCATCTGTGGCTCAGAGACACGATTGAGAAAATAGATTCAAAAGCTCCAGTCCGTCTCCATACTCCACATTTTGTAAACTAACCGCCTGAGCTGTGGCAGCCCATTCCGCCGTACGTGCTGAAAGTGCTCTAGATGCAAAACAATACTCTTCGGATGGTAATCGGGCCATCTGTGGCTCAGAGACACGATTGAGAAAATAGATTCAAAAGCTCCAGTCCGTCTCCATACTCCACATTTTGTAAACTAACCGCCTGAGCTGTGGCAGCCCATTCCGCCGTACGTGCTGAAAGTGCTCTAGTAGGAGGCAAAACATTCCCGATCTGCTGCATTCTAGATCAGGACGCGTGTGTTTAGCATACAGAAATTTGGAAACCGTTGGTGTAAACCTGCTCGGTGACTTATTTATGCAGCAGGAAATTTCTTCGTACTTTTGTCCTGAGTGAGTTCATCATACAATTCCAAGTTATCATTTGCGCAGCGAGTTGGAAGGGACCGATGTCATACTCGTTGACGATACACAGGTACTGGCAAGCGCTGTTTCTGGAGAAAATCCGGATCATCATCTTTGGAGTTGACGCTCCAGAACCTGATATCACCCGCATGGACCATGGCTGTAGACAGGATATACCTGGGTAGATCATTATGGTACATTAAAATACGGTTTAGGCGGTTTCAACTAAGCGATAACAATTTGGGCATGTTGCTAAGACAGAGACCTTATGGTACAAATTGGTGCCAGCGATTGAATTATTGTCGTTCTGCTCAGCACCTCTAAAGTAGCGCCGCAGTTTCCGAAAGGAGTAGTTAAACCAACGGTATCAATATGATGATGTTAATTTTACATTGAATAGGAATACTCAGGGACATTAAGCTGCTGAGGTTGCTACATTGAATAGGAATACTCAGGGACATTAGGCTGCTCTAGAGAATTGTAGCCAGACATTATGGGATGCACAATGAAGCAAGATCCACGAATTTAACCACATGCCTATTTGTACTAGTCACATGCTCATGTTGCTTTTCTTTTTTCATAGTCATGCTTATATGCCACAATTACGGGTAAGCGCTATGGGTTATCGAAGACTGCAGATTTTATTCTCTCGCGTCGTACGGCTTACAGCACTATAGTCTTGTACATCTCAGACCACAACCTCAGGATTTATATCAGTAGTCTCCGAGAAATTCTCCCAATACGTCAGTGATCTTTGAGTGTGTAGTCTGGTTGTATATCAACAGTACACCTGTGAAATGTAAGTCAATTATCAAAACATTGAAAGTGAAATGAAGATGACCTATTCTAACATGGTCAGGGGCATTTTGGAAGGGGTAACTAGAGATAACCGACCAGTCGACCAGTATAGAACTGAATGTAAGTAGGCATGCGCTTATGGTTTCGTAGGGTTCATATTGCAAAGGCAGCTGAGGTGGGTGGAACAGAACAGGAAGTGATTTATTATTGGCCTGGCATATCAAGTGGTATGATAAGATTTTTCAACCAACGATTTGGTTAAAAACGTTTTACTCTTCACCCTAACATACTAACAACGGACATACGCAGATTCGTCCAGCTTGCGCGGTTATTTTAGCCGGAGTTGGAGCGGTTATTTTTTATTTTTTCAGCGCTCTTAACAATTTTTTAAGTACCAGGCTACTGAGTTTGGGTATGGTTCTTGTGTAGAGGACAATCAAATAACTTTTTGAACTCTTCCGTCGCAAATCCAAAAACGATCCGTGCACATGAATAAAATGTCAGAATTTGAAAATGAAAAGGTAAATTGTATTACTTTTTTCCCAAGAGCAACGAAACTGACTGAGTGCAGCATCCTTCTTTACTAATCGACATCAGGTGAATTAAGGTTTCACGCATGTGGGCTTTGTCTAGGAATGCCAACCGGCGGTTGTACCAATTACCAAGTCTTGGATTCTGATGAAGCCCAAATCGGCTGATGTTAGGAGGAATATTTTCCATTGATTATCGTTAACTCAACAAAACGCCGTCGCAGCAGGTGCAATTCAAAGTTGATATCAATACATTCCGAACATAGAGTAGATCGAGCCCCATGCCCCCAAACTTCGAGCATCGGTCAAATGCTTCACCAGTTTTAAATGACTTTCACCTTTAAAACCCCCGAGGAATCTGTTGTCCCCGATGAACGGTGACACAATCAAGAGTATCGTGCCCAGCTGGTTACACTTGTTCATTTGGGAGGAAGTTACATTTTACTGCGCATCAGTGTGCGAGAATGAACCAGTCCAAGATACTCCCTAACGACGTGGTCGTGAGTACATTTATCAGCTTGTCAGAACAACACGACGATGTAATGGTTTGAAAGTGGCTTTCAAAGGAAAGAATCACTCCTATGATGAATCATAAAACTTCGTTTCTATTTTTAATTCTTGATAATCTATTTTTATTTTAGCTAAAATACTAAACAAAATGGAACCAGTCAATCGATCGATACAAAACCTTTTACCTATTTCACGCCAGAATTCCTCAGTACCAGCAACCGAGGCATGTGTACCTATCCCATGGCTTCAAAACGTACAGAACGACTACGGGCACATTCACGGATACTTGGCAGTGGTAGTCTGTGTGTTTAACATCATTTCAACCACTATCAATATGGTTGTGCTCAATCAACCGTCAATGATTTCCCCTACCAACTTTCTGCTAACGATGCTTGCACTTAGCGACGGAGCCCTCACAGCGCTCTATATTCCGTTTTCTATTTATTTTCAAATTGGTGATCGGCTTCAGAGCGCCACTTACGGATGGTCTGTATTTATGATAATCTATGTGAATTTGCAAACACTTCTTCACTCGGCGTCTTGTTATATCGTTGTGACCGTGGCATTCTTCCGTGTATTGTACGTACGATGTCTCGTTCGCTGTCAGGAGCTGTGCTCTATGCAACGTGCACATTTGGCGGTTGGAATCACATTCCTACTCAGTGGGATACTCACAGTACCCTGCATGCTTTCTCATCACATCGTAAATGTGGCTGCAAACAACACTAGTGCTTCGGATTCCTACATGGTTACCTATGTCGACAACAAAGCGCTACCCAACATCATGTACTGGAATTCAGCTTTATTTATCAAACTCCTTCCACTCATGTGTCTGGTGGTTTTGAGTCTAATCATCATTGTGACTATCCATGGTAAAAATGCCCAAATGCGCAAAATTGTATCAAGTAAACGGTCGTCCACAATGCCAAAGGGGTCGTCTAACCCTCCAGAAGACGGGGGTATGCATCAAAACAAAGGTGAAGGAAATCCGCTGAGGAAACACGGTCGTTCGTCTGTGACGCTCAGACAGACTGATACACCTCCAACAAATGGCACCCACCTCTTGCGGAATTCTGCAGCTCAAACGGAACGAGAAAAATCTGGATCTCGGATGACGCGGATGCTTTTGACTATCGTATTTTTGTTTGTTATGGCGCATCTGCCACAGGTATGTGATTTCATGAAAGGGTAAGATTGTATCCGAACTCCTCAAGTTAACCTCAATCCACCATAGTTGCTGCCATGACCCACAGCAGCAAAGAGACCAGGGCACATGAAATTCTCTTATCAAATGAAAGGCTCGATCTTTCATCTAAAACTGACTTTCCAAAAGTATTACATAAACTCTGTGGAACGTATTCAGGACAAACTAGTTAAAGAAACCAGAGATTCCTGGAAAATTAACCTCTACTCGTACTGATAGAGTCTTATTCTGAACATGAGACTCAAGCCCCCAAGAGTGACCGTATTTAGCTTGGTTACTAACAAGGGCTGTAAGTGCATGAACCTAAGTAAACTGCAAAGGTACCTATGTTGAAGTTAATCTAGTGTTCACCAGCTGTGAGAATAGTGAACTTCATTTTATCTTCCACCGAATACATCAATGCATCAGAAATGCTTCAGTTAAGACCTTAGATTTCAGTGCTAAACGAAAACTATGCTGGTTAATTACCCGAGGTATCGAGCTCAAATTACAGGACAAACTTGAGTGATTTACTCGGGGCGATGGAAAATAAGGCAAGAAGTGATAAGTTAATCCATATATAGTACACCTAGGTTCAATGCAGATTTCGTCTTTTCAGTATGACCAGTCTACGCTGAAGAACCGAGGAGCAAGAACACTAATTTCATCTTTATTGAGAATCCTTGGCATTGTGCATCTCACGAATTTCAAAGATTTTCGGAACCTTGATCTTCAGATCAGTGGTTTAACATTTAACCGGTCAGCCACGAGCGACCAAGTAGTAAGTGACCTAATGATGTGGCTTCTGAGACTGGAGGATGAGTGGCTTATATCCCGTCTAGGTGGGAGCTCATCACCCTACTTTTCAGCTTCTTGAGGCTGAATGTTCAAGCGGCGAGACTCAGCGTTCCGTGACGTGCGTGCTGCTAGTGATTCCCAATAAGGGTGGAACATGTATAAGGTGTTTCTCGGCTTTTTCGCATTAATTAGCTTCATTGAGAGGGCGACGGCTCAACTGAAGGATACCAGATATACTCACGCTACCGAAAAATCCCAAGTTGCGCTACTCGTTTTTCGAATAATAGGATCACTGAATATGATGTAGAACACAGAACACAAAGCGTACTATTGCCCTAATCGACTTCGTAGGCCCTGCCTAAACTGGTTTGAAGGTGTGCTTACTTATGGACTTCTTTGTTTATGTCAAGGCCAGTATCTTGCAAAAGACTTACAAAGACAAATGGCTTCATTTTAGAGGTGAAGAAAAACCCCAGTCACATTCACGCTTTTGTATTCGTTAAATCTTCTCGGCTGGATGTAGAAAGACCAGTCCAGTGACCCTTTGATTAGGGAATTAATGTTGCCAGTGCTCCCGCTGACTACTTTGTGCACGTAAGAAACAGTTGGTAACTGGCAGCCGATTTTACTGTGTAATTTCACTTATGCATCATAATGTCGTACATGCAAATCTAAAGACACCAGCTTGTTAGTGC